TGACCCATTTAAATCACAGGTGAGAGAGAGAGAGAGAGAGAGAGAGAGAGAGAATCCTGAATCTGGTATACAGTATTTACTCCAACAAAAAGTCATTTTCTTTTTACCCCAGAGATGCCATCAAAAAAGAAGGGGGTCATCTTACATAAGAACATCAGAGAAGCCAGTGCTGGATCAGGCCAATGGCCCATCCAGCCTATCACTCTGTCACACAGTGGCCAAAAATACCAGGTGCCATCAGGAGGTCCACCAGTGGGGCCAGGACACTAGGAGCCCTCCCACTGTTGACCCCCAGCACCAAAAATACAGAGCATCACTTGCACCAGACATAAGAACCTAAAAGAAGCCAGTGTTGGATCAGGCCAATGGCCCAGCCAGTCCAACACTGTCACACAGTGGCCAAAAATACCAGGTGCCACCAGGAGGTCCAGCAGTGGGGCCAGGACACTAGAAGCCTTCCCACTCTTGCCCCCCCCCCAAGCACCAAGAATACAGAACATCCCTTGCCCCAGACATAAGAACATCAGAGAAGCCACTGTTGGATCAGGCCAATGGCCCATCCAGTCCAACACTCCGTGTCACACAGTGGCCAGAAACACCAGGTGCCATCAGGAGGTCCACCAGAGGGGCCAGGACACTAGAAGCCCCCCACTATTGCCCCCCCAAGCACATTTGCATACAAGTTACAGTGAAGTCCAGTAATTTTTGGGTTTGGGGGTCTGTGTGTATACTTTATAATGTCACATCTTTGCCACTAATTTTGAGAACTGTGAACAAATCGCAGCTCCCAATGCAGACCTGAAATGTTTTCCAGGATTCTGGGGTGATCCAGAAACATGAAGGTTCATTTTTGTCCCGTCCCACTTTGTTAATTCCCATTTTGATCCCCTTCTGCCACCACCAAATAACTCCCCTTCCCCCCACAATGCAGGGGCCTCCCCTCAGAGGCTAGAGAAGAGCCGGCTTCACAGTTGCCATCAACCCAAAGAGAGGGAGGAGGCCTGGAACTCACTGAGGGTCACAGCTTGCTTGGTGCCCCGGCCGTGGCTGTTTTGCGGTGGAAGCCCCCTAGCAGCCACGCGCCCCACTGGGCGAGGGCCTTGCCCACTTCCCTGGAACACGGGGGGCAGGTGCCACAGTGGGGAACAGTGCTCAGAAGAGCCACAGGTACCAAGTCAAAGAGCCACGTGTGGATCCTCCTGAGCCACTGAGCCTCACTGCCCCAATGCCTCCCCTCACAAGCATTTTCTTCCTGCACCTGCTTCTAACAAAACACTAACTTCATCCAATTCAACAGAGCAAATCATTGGATACTTTGAGTTTTAGGCAGAATATCCATGTCTAGATTGCTATCTGGGAACAGACAGTCCCAAATGCAAATCAATAATAATAATTTAAAAAACCACACACACACACACAACACAATGAGGATGATGGAAGAGCCCCAACTTCCTCGGAGTTCTGAGAAACCCGCGCTGTTGCCCCAGCGCCTCGTCTCGCAGGCCACCTGCCGTGGGAAACTAGAGACAGGCCCAAAGTATCCTGGCCCAGCCCTCAACCGCTCAGCTTTTACTCTGCTGCTGGACATGAACAGGCAAAGCAGCTATGCAAAGATCAGGCTGGTGCAGCTTCCTGCAAGATCCATGGCTCAGTGGCAGAGCCTCTGCTTGGCATGCAGGAGGCCCCAGGTTCAGTCCCCGGCAGCATCTCCAGCTGAAATTAAATGGCAGTGGGTGATGGGAAAGACCTTTCCCTGCCGGAGGCCCTGGAGACCCACTGCCAGAAAACGCGGGGGGAAGGCGTGGCTATTTGCGCCATCGCATTTTGATCCGCCATGCAATCAGACGCAATGGCAGCGCACCAGGGTTTCATCCTTTGGCACGCGCGCTGCAAAGAGGATGGCCGGAGGGGCCACAGTGGGGAACAGTGCTCAGAAGAGCCACAGGTACCAAGTCAAAGAGCCACGTGTGGATCCTCCTGAGCCACTGAGCCTCACTGCCCCAATGCCTCCCCTCACAAGCATTTTCTTCCTGCACCTGCTTCTAACAAAACACTAACTTCATCCAATTCAACAGAGCAAATCATTGGATACTTTGAGTTTTAGGCAGAATATCCATGTCTAGATTGCTATCTGGGAACAGACAGTCCCAAATGCAAATCAATAATAATAATTTAAAAAACCACACACACACACACAACACAATGAGGATGATGGAAGAGCCCCAACTTCCTCGGAGTTCTGAGAAACCCGCGCTGTTGCCCCAGCGCCTCGTCTCGCAGGCCACCTGCCGTGGGAAACTAGAGACAGGCCCAAAGTATCCTGGCCCAGCCCTCAACCGCTCAGCTTTTACTCTGCTGCTGGACATGAACAGGCAAAGCAGCTATGCAAAGATCAGGCTGGTGCAGCTTCCTGCAAGATCCATGGCTCAGTGGCAGAGCCTCTGCTTGGCATGCAGGAGGCCCCAGGTTCAGTCCCCGGCAGCATCTCCAGCTGAAATTAAATGGCAGTGGGTGATGGGAAAGACCTTTCCCTGCCGGAGGCCCTGGAGACCCACTGCCAGAAAACGCGGGGGGAAGGCGTGGCTATTTGCGCCATCGCATTTTGATCCGCCATGCAATCAGACGCAATGGCAGCGCACCAGGGTTTCATCCTTTGGCACGCGCGCTGCAAAGAGGATGGCCGGAGGGAATAGGCGCGCACTGGCGCGATCACACCGAACAAGTCCGTCTGCAGCCCGTGGCAAACCATTTGCTAGTAGATCTTTGCAGGTACTTTTTAACTGTGCATCTTTGGCGGCACGCCACGGGTACGCTATGCTTGCCAGATGTTGCGGTGTGATCGCGCCCCGAAAATCCGCCCAGCATTCGTGCCTTTCATGTGGCAAATTCTCCGCATGACCGGGGCCTGAGTAGACAAGACTGACTTTAATGGACCGAGAAAAGAAGAGAAGAGACTGGATGTATACCCCATGGCCCTTCCCTATCCAAGGGAGTCTCAGAGCGGCTGACAAACTCCTTTCCCTTCCCCTCCCCACAACAGACACCCTGGGAGGCAGGCGGGGTTGAGAGAGCTCTGACAGAAACTGCTCTTTTTCAAGAACACCTGTGCCAGAGTTATGGCTTGCCCAAGGTCATCCAGCCAGGTGCAAGCAGAGGAGTGGGGAATCAAACCCGGCTCTCCCAGATTAGAGTCCGCGCACTTAACCACTGCACCAAGCTGGCACTACACCAGACCCCAAGGGGGGGGGGTCTGGTTCAGTAGAAGGTGGCTTCGTGTGTTCTAGAAGCCAACGAAGGGGGGTGGATTCTCCCACTCGTGAAGCAGAGGAGCCACTTAAATATGGAGACACACAATCCCAAGGGACTGCTAGGCGTGACCTGAGTTGGGCTGGGAATCCCCAACCTGAATCGTGGGACACCCGACTTCTGGCCACTGCAGGGTTGCTTCCTGCTCCGGCCTTCCCTCCCTGAACGTTCCCTCAAGCTGAAGCAGACGTGGGGCTCCACGTGTCACGGTCAGTACAGGTAGAGCCCTGGAGCAGGAGGAACAGCCCCCCCACACCCCATTTCATCTTCAGAAAACAGTATGGGAGGGGTGGCTGGAGCTCCTCCTTCCTCCCACACCAAGATCATGCGCAGGAACCTCCCTGCAGGGCTTGGGAACAATATTTCCCAGCTGTCGCATGTCCCAGGAGTCAGGTTGGGGAAACCCCCCCCCCCTAGCCCAACTCCAGCCCCACACACCCTTTAGTTGGGAACCAAGGCTGGAAAAGGCCATTCAGCTCTGCTGAGCAGAAGGGCTGGAGCCACCCCGTCAGGGTGAGATGCTCCACATGCGCAGAGGGTCTTACTTCCGGGCAGGAAAAGACACAGCTCCCGGCCGTGGGTGTTCCACCAGGAAGTCAAGAGACTTGTGCCTCCTTTGGCCTGACTGCACTGTACAAAGTCTGTCTAGTTCAGAAGGTACCCAAACGGTCTCTTTTAGCCATTATACAGAACCCAAAGTCAAATGGGGAATTAGCACACATGGCGTGAATCAGGGACTTTACAAGAAGAAGGAGGAGGAGGAGGAAGAGATTGGATCTATACCCCATGGCCCTTCACTACCCAAGGGAGTCTCAGCATTTCATCTTCAGAAAACAGTATGGGAGGGGTGGCTGGAGCTCCTCCTTCCTCCCACACCAAGATCATGCGCAGGAACCCCCCTGCAGGGCTTGGGAACACTATTTCCCAGCTGTCACATGTCCCAGGAGTCAGGTTGGGGACCCCCCCCCCGCCCAACTCCAGCCCCACACACCCTTTAGTTGGGAACCAAGGCTGGAAAAGGCCATTCAGCTCTGCTGAGCAGAGGGGCTGGAGCCACCCCGTCAGGGTGAGATGCTCCACATGCGCAGAGGGTCCTACTTCCGGGCAGGAAAAGACACAGCTCCCGGCCGTGGGTGTTCCACCAGGAAGTCAAGAGACTTGTGCCTCCTTTGGCCTGACTGCACTGTACAAAGTCTGTCTAGTTCAGAAGGTACCCAAACGGTCTCTTTTAGCCATTATACAGAACCCAAAGTCAAATGGGGAATTAGCACACATGGCGTGAATCAGGGACTTTACAAGAAGAAGGAGGAGGAGGAGGAAGAGATTGGATCTATACCCCATGGCCCTTCACTACCCAAGGGAGTCTCAGAGCAGCTTACAAACTTCTTCCCCTTCCCCTCCACCCAACAGACACCCTGGGAGGTGGGTGGGGCTGAGAGAGCTCTTGACAGAAACTGCTCTTTTTTCAAGAACAGCTCTTGTCAGAACTAGGGCTTGCCCAAGGTCATCCAGCAGCTGCAAGTGGAGGAGTGGGGAATCAAACCCAGTTCTCCCCGATTAGAGTCCGCCTGCACTTAACCACGACACCAAACAAAAGCCGCCCCACATCCCTTTTCTTTCCACTGAAGCTCGGTCCTGCCTGCTCTTTCCAGACCCTGCCCAAAGAGTTCCCAGCGCGCCCGCAACACACTCACCTTCGCCGTATTCAAAATCGGAGCTGATATCGAAGGGCTGGAGGCGGACCTCCGAGAGCAAGAGGACGACCGATTTCTGGTGGTCGCTGGAGGTCAGGGTGATGGTCTGCTGAGCCTGGCATTCGTAGGCCTTCCCGGCAGGGGTGACCAAGGCGGAGAGGTGGCGGGTGGTGGCCGTGTGTTTCCCGGCTGCCAAGAGGACAGAAACGGCTATGAAGGGGGCACCACTCCGCAGGCCTGCCCTCTGACCCACCTCCCGACGCTTTGAGGAAACCACTTGTGTGGCTGTCGCATGAGAACCAGGCGGGGGCAAGCCTGCTGGAGGAGGCCAAGGGCCCATCTCGCCCAGAAGATGCCACAGGGAAGCATCCGACGAGCGAAATTCTGCCCCTGCTGACTCCTCCCCAGCATCTGACAAACCAGAGCGCCCCCCACACCTTCCAGCTATGGTCATAGCTGATAGCCAGTGGCAGCTCTGTCCTCCATCAGTACGTCCGGCCTCCTTTTAAACCTATCTAAGTCATACCTCGTGGTAGCGAGTGGCACAGTGGAAAAGAGCAAGAATCCAGTGGCACCTCAAAAGCAAGAATTTTGTATGCGAAATATTGGAAAGTGAACCAGGTGCCAACAGATGATGAACTGATTGAAAAGATTCTAGAAGTTGCTGAAATGGACATTTTATCGGAAAGTTTAAAAGACCTTGATGGCCGAGAGCTGGAAGCGTTACGGAAACCATTTTATATATGGACCCAAACAAGAAACTAAAGAGACAGACTCTGAACGTATAAATTATGATTGTTAGAAAATATGTGTTAAACAAAGGAAAGAGGTATGTCTGTTTGTAGAACTTGCTTTGGGAGGCTTAAATTGTTAGACGATTCCCTGTGCTCTACTGTTTCTCGGATGCCATAACCCATACCTTCTCCCATCCCCACCTTACCCTTTCCTATGGAGATTTAATTTGAAATTTTTTTAAAAAATTAAATGAAAAAAAGACTAACAAAATTCACGGCTGGGTGTGAGCTTCTGTGAGTAGAATGTGAGTCCATCTGTCCTTGGAGAGTGGAGTGGTTACAGATGCTGAATGACGATAGCCGGCCAACGACAATAGCGGGGAATATGGGGAAATGATAGATAAAGCAAAAAGCCTGTAATGCTATATAGCCAACTGAATAATATAATGTAGTGGGAAATACCATAGAAAATATCAATGCCACAGTATTACTGAATACAGATAGTACAAAGTTAACAAAATCTCAGAGTGTAGTAAATACAAAATTGAAGGTAAATGTACACGAAAGGAAAGTAAATGTATAATTTGCTATACAGCATGATGATAGGCTTTTTGCTTTGTTTAGCGTATTTCCCACAGCTTTTTCCCTGTCACTACGCATTTGCTGGGAAGTCTTCTTTTTTGTTTCAGATAGCAGGGGAATGACAATAGCAGGCGTGATTGGCTTAGGTGTGGCATTCAGAGGGGGAGTAAGCGTAGATAGCAGGGGAATGACAATAGCAGGCGTGATTGGCTTAGGTGTGGCATTCAGAGGGGTAGTAGGCGTGGAGAAATCAGCACTGGTAAATGAGCCAGGAAACTGAGGTCTTGTCAGCTGGGGAGGTTCGTCTGTGTCTGGTTAATTGCTATTGCTTTCCTTTCAGGTTAATTGCTACTGCATTCCTTTCTGTGCTGTCTCTGCTGTGCGCCGAAATGCTTATCTATACAGATGTGCAGGAGGGAGTTGTATTGTCTGGGTTTTTCCTAGGTGCCGTGGGAGAGTGTTGGTTCTCAGCTTCAGCTAGCATCTATAGCTCTGCAATAAAAGTATAACCGTTCCTGAATGCGTGCACTTCGTTGTTGGCTGTGGGTTCTGACAGGTCTCGATTCAGTCCAGGAGGATGCATTGTCTTGAGCAATTCAACACATTGTGCACTTTGCAAAAGGTATTATGTGAATTCTGCATTCAAAAACCACTGTGCCTGTCCCGATGCTGCTGTACTCAGGGAGGCAGCAACGACATCCCTCTAGCGTTCCCCGCCTCCAACATTGTTCCGCGCTCTTTGGGGGTAAGGAACAATTATGCTGGGCCCCAACCAGCCTCTTCTGCCCAAAAGTTTTGCACAAGCAGCTAGAAGAAGGCAAGATGACCCACACACCTTTTTGTAAGTCACCTGAAGTACTCTCTCTCGCATAAAGGCATGGCAAATCGTAATGAATAGAATAGAGAAGAGTTGAAATAAAGCATGAAAGGCACAGTCCAGTGTGCTGCCATAGATACAGGGGCTTAGGGACAGAAGAGGGTTCCACGGAACAGAGCGGGAAGAACCTGACTGCTCCCCGAGCTGGAATTCCTTCACAGGGCAGTGTGGGGAAGGGCTGTACAGGGAGACGAGAGATCTGCCCCAATCTCCTATTCCCCATAACAGCCCCGTGTCTGCACGTGTTGAGAGAAGAAAGGGGAACACGGGATTTCCTTACTTCCTATTGTTGCCCACGGAGCCCCTGGTAGGACAGGACAGATGTCATAACGTTGGGGAAATCCGGATGGTAGACAGGGTGTTCAGGGATCTCTGGGTGCTTTGGATGGGGAAACGTTTACCCTGGGCCAGATGGCGTCCACCCAAGAGTGCTTAAAGAACTATCTGGGGAGTGGGCAGAACCGTTAATCCGTTATTTTCAAGGCATCTCGGAGGACAGGTGATGTGCCAGGTGACTGTAAGAGTGGTTGAGCAGTGGAGCAGACTGCCTCGGGAGGTGGTGGGTGCTCCTTCGCTGGGCGTTTTCAAACGGAGGCTGGACGGCCATCTTTCGGGTATGTTGTAGGGCTATCTTTCGGCTGTGCTCCTGCAGAGTGCAGGGGGTGGGACTAGATGACCTGTGTTGTGTCCGCTGACCGCCACCAGAGTCCCTTCCAACTCTAACATTCTATGATTCTATGATTCTATGACAGGAGAAGGGCGAATGTTTACCCGATTTTTAAAAGGGGGAGGAAAGATGATCTGAGGAGCTACAATCTGGTCGGTTTAACCTCCGTCCCTTAATTCACAACCCCTGAGTCGGGCATAGCAAATAACTGTGATGTATTAAGTATGCGTCAGGACTCCCTTCTCTGCTTACAGTAATTTCTTTAAGAATAGTCTCATTCCGAAAGTGATGCTGTGACGACTGTATGTGTCAGTTATGATAAGTAAGGCATCCAGAAGTATTTATGGAATTATCTTCCTATGTACTTTGGGACTTGTACTCTATTCTACTGTTGAATTGTAAAGTTAATATAATTTTCAATTAAAAATTATATTTTTAAAAGTGTAAGCATCTAGAAGCCAATAGAAGATGGAGTATAAGGCAATCATGGCTTCAACCTTCAGCATGCCAGTCTCTAACCGTACCATTGCGTTAGATACGCATCTCGGAACTTGGAGCACTGCTCTCAAAAACTTTGACTGGACTAGCTCCAAGGGAGCATAGCTGGATGGAGGCGCTCCAAGCAGCGTTCCATAGAGCATCTGGGCAAGTGTTTTGGCCTCATAGAGTTTTAAAGCTGATGGTACAAAAAAGCCCCCTTGGGAGCTGAAGAACTTAAGAATACCATGTGAGGATTTTTCACCCAAGCAAGCAGCTGCCTGACTATGGGCAGTCCTAGATCCAGAGGCTTGGAGGATCAAAGCATCTAGAAGGTAACTTGGTGATACATTGGGATAGATTTGTACCTAATAGGTCCTGTCGCTCATTTCCTTTCCTTTTTTGATTGGGCAACTGACAAGTTTGGAAGATCATGGGGTTGCCGTGGATATTGTGTATTTGGATTATAGTAAGGTATCGTTTTGCTTTAGTAAATTGTTCTGTTCTTTTCTTAAAGTCCTTCTGCACATGGGGTGTTTTTTTTTTTGGTCTTATGTTTACTGTGTAATTGCTGATTGTTTACTTTATCTTATAAGTTTCCCCAGGACGTTCTGGTGGGCAAGTTGGAGGGCTGTAGATTAGATTGTAGGATGGTTGGGTGGGTACGGAATTGTCTAGGTAATCACACAGAAAGAATGATCGTTAATGGCTCCTTGTCTGATTGGAGGGTAGTATCTAGTGGGGCCCCACAAGGCTCGGTTTTGGGCCTGGTGTTTTTAAATATTTTGTCAACAATCTAGATGAGGTTGTGAGGGGAGGATTCATTAACTGTGCAAATTAAGTGGGATGGCAAACACTCCGGAAGACAGAAATAAGATACAATCAGACCTGGATATGTTGGAGAAATGGGCAGATGTGAACAAGATGCTGTTTAATAGAGATTTTGCATCTGGGTGGTAAAAATGCCATGCACGCATACCAGATGTGGGGTGCTTTCCCGGGCAGCCGCATGTGCGAATGGGATCTTGGGGTTCAGGTGGACTGCAAATGGAGTATGAGTGGCCAGTGTGATGCGGCAGCAAAGAAGGCAAACATGATCTTAGGGTCACAGTGTGTGGGACATGAGATGTGATCGCACCATCGCATACTGCATTGATCAGGCCTCTTTTGGAGGATCGTGTCCGGTTCTGGAGACCTTTTTACAGGAAGGACAGAGGAACTTTGGAAAAGGTGCAGAGGAGAGCAGCACGAATGATTAGGCGTTTGGAGACCTTGCGAAGACAGGCTGCAGGAACTGGGAGTGTTCAGCCCGAAGAAGAGGAAGTTGGGGGGGGGGCAGGATTACTGTCTTTGACTGTCTGAAGGGCTGGCACCTGGGGGAGTGGAGGGTGCTGTTTCAGTTGGTAGTGGAGGAGAGGGCTTCTTATAATAACAGGTTTAATTTACAGGTGGGGAGATATAGGCAGGATATTAGGGGAAACTTTGTTACCATAAGGGTGGTTCATTGTAGAGTTGCTTCCATCAGGATGTGGTGGGTTATCTTCCCCCGGCCCCCTTGGAGGTATTTAAGCAGAGACTGGAGATGAATTTCTCAAGGAGACTTCTGGTCATCCTGCGTGGTGCAGGGGCTGGACTTGGTGGCCTTTCAGCCCCTCCCACTTTTTAATTCTGTGCTTCAGGACAGACAAAAGGCAACACTCCTGTACACAGAGATTGATTACAAGGTGGGATTCGCGGCCAGAGGAGGTCATGATGGCCACAGGAATAAACGGCTTGAAAAGGGGACCAGAGAGATTCATGGAAGAAAGGTCTATCAATGGCTGATAGTCAGAGTGACTGAGGGGAACCTCCA